TACTTGACGAAAGTTGATAGTATAATCTTCCACCGTACCAATGTCAAATTCATATTCTTAGAGATATACAATATAATCATCTAAAATTTTACTTCTATCTCTAGTGGATCTCCTTAATGATATAAGTTCTTAAGGGTGTTAAATTTGTACTTCAGGAATAGTTTCCTGAACATAAATAGAAGATACTATGACATTGTCTTCATCTAAAGTTGTTTTTTGAATAATACTAGTTATAAGAACCTAATCCTGATCATTGTAAATAACAACTAAAGGAATAGGAATATCGACCCATTCTTCTTCAAAGACAAGGTTTCGAAATCTTTCTCCTCCCACAAACTCAACATCCTCAAAGAACTAGACATTTTTCATCTCAAAATTTATCTTAGCAGTGAGATCATAAAACTTATAACTCCTAGATCGTTCAGAATAAATAACAAAATAGCAACTACAGTTCTGGAGTTCAGTTTCTTTTCTTGTGGTTTATAAGGCATGACCTCAACTGCACATTCTCATATATATAAATATCTCAAACTAGGCTTCTTGGCCCTTTAAAGTTCATAAAGAGTCTTTATAGTTGCTTTAGTTTGAACTCTAATGAGTAAATATGTTGCAGTCTTTAATACTCCTCCGTATAGTGATTCAGGTGAGATATAATGACTAATCATAGTTCTCACCATATCCTTAAGTATTCTATTTTACCTTTCAACAACATCATTCATGATAGGAGAATCTGACATGGTGTACTGTAGGACGATACTGCATTCCTCTAGGAATTGAGCAAACGGCTCTAGACACTGTTCACTTTATCCGTTAGATCTACCATAGTATTCACCACCACGGTCAAATTTAATAGTTTTAATCCTTTAATAGTAATTAAATTCAGACAGTAGAAACACATCAAAAAATAAATATTCATTTGGGTCGATTTAAAGTTCACATGTTATACTGAATAACTGTCACGTATTTATTATTACAAAAATGGAATGTAATAATATTAAATATTAACATTCCTTTGAACCAATTAACATTCATATAAATTATACCTATATAATTATTTATTTTATAAAATAAATAAATTATCTACCAGAGATATCACTTTAGTGATATATTATGTAAATTAATTTATTACAATCTGTATATGCACGTACTAATATTAAAATTCAAAACTAAAACTAAATTTAAACTGAATTATGAAGAAAATCAATCACAAAATGATCAAAAATACCTTTAATTTTTTTGTCAAAAGTTTGACCATTGATCGGTCAAAATTAATATTGACCGTTGACTAGGTTGGTTTAACACCCGGTTGGGTCCTGGACCGGATTGGATTCGGGCCAGGTTGGCCCAGCCGAATGGGCCTCCCCCTTTCCTTCTTTTCTTCATTTTCTTTTCTTCTTGTGAAAGAAGCCTACATAACTTAATTTCTTTTAAAAAACACGTAACTTTAAAACACCCAATAACCCCGTAACCTTTTTTTTTCCTCTTCTTCTTCTTCCTCATGTCTGCAACGTCTGCTTCTTAATTGCTACAGTAACGGCTGAAAAAAAAAACTAACCATTACGCTCGAGATTCGGCAGCCGTTTCGACTGTCGAACGGTTGCATGACCGCCGGACTTTCTTCTTCATGCAGTGGTGGTCAGCCGTTGCCGGACTTTCTTCATCATACAGTGGTGGTCGGTCGTTGCTTTTCCCTTTTTATTTTTTGCTTCATATACATGCATGTATATATATATACATCCTAAACTCATATATACATATATATACATATATTTTCTGCTTTAATTTATTTGAAATCCATATATATATATATATATTTTTTTTTTCTTGGATTTGAAATATATATATTTCTAATCCTTATATATACATATATATTTCTCAAAATTCAAAATCACAAAAATCACATAAAACAACTTGAATATACAAAATTCAATATAAGAAGATCTTTAATATCAATTGTTGAAATAAAAATACTTTTTAAATTAATAAATATATAAAAATAAGTACAAAATTTCGTACTGAGAAATGTAAGCAAAAACATATTTGGATTCATCACGGAAGAATTATCCGAGTCAATCTTTCAAATCAATATAATACCTAAAAATTAATTTTTCTGGTGATGTGATTTCAGAAAAATAAAATGATAATATTATGATTCGGGGACCATAAATCAATTTTTATATCGATAAACTTTTGTAATTCTTATTCTGTCTATTATAAAATGAAAATATTATATGCATATTACAAACTCATATTTAATATTATTTAAACGATTCTATTAAATTGATAGTTTGACATGCATACAAAAATCTACATTAAACGAACATGTCAAAAAAATACAATGTTACAGAAATATAAAAATTCATTTATTTTTCTTTTGTGATATATATATATATATATGTAGAGAGAATATACATATTTCTTTTTTTATTGTAAAACTAATTAAAAAGAGACATTTGAATGACCAAATATTCCAAATGAAAAAAAAAACACCAGCTCGAGTACAAATATAACAAATTAAAGAAAACAAATTATATAACTAATTGACTACAATTATGCACTGAAATTGAAATGCAATTACAAATGGTTGAGCTTCTCAAAAGAAACTGCTCAAAACTTAACACAAAACAATACAAACAAATTATAATTAGAAATTGAATTTAAATACAATTACATCCAAGTAAATTAAAATAAAAATTACACTCAACTTTCTAAACTTTTTTTAAGGGTGTAGTTCTAACAAAATAAAATTTACATTTATAAATAGTCACTAAAAATTAAACGTAATTAGGGTGTGTTCTTGATTTGTTTATTTTATTTTATTTTTCAAATTGTCTATTTTTGACATGTTCGCTTATGAGATATTTATGGGATAATAAATTTCCCTTACTTATTTTGGTTGGAGATTAGTATAATCACTATAATTTAGAATACAACAGACTTTGAACATTAAGTTTTTTTTTTTTTTTTTAAAAGGTAATTATTTACCCAGATTGTATATTTATATATAAATATATGATACATTACATATATAGAGATTGGGTGGGTGAGATATCATTCTCACTTGGATATCAAAATGCCGTAATTAATGTTTATGCCAAAGTAAACTCCAAAAAAACATATAATCTAATATAATACGACCGTTGAACAATATCGCTCATGTGTAAATGTATGTCTATTCAAAAAAGAATTTTATATATATATATACACACACATATATACGTTTAAGCAAAAATTGTTATATTATGGGGAAAAAAAAAAAAAAAAGCTGAGTGATTTAAGGGGTATGGTAAAATTCATTGGTTGCTGTCCAATTGATAAGGTTGTGATGAAATCACAACGACGACTAATAATAAAATGGCTCCATGAATTTGGAGGTATATAACGACCGAAAACCACCATCAACGGGCATGATCTATGGAAAACTTGTTTGTTTATGATTAAAATTAATATTAATTAAGAATAAAAGAGATTAAGGAGACCCCACTTCAACCGACAACCGTCATTAAATTTTTTAATTAATTAAATATTTCTTAATCAAATCAATTGACGTGATACATACACATACCGCATAAGAAAGCAATTAGTCAATAAGTAACTGCGAATTGTATCAAATCAATTATTGCATGCCTTGATTTTGCTTGTTAAGTATAATGGTAATTGTTAATTATTTATTATTTGTTTAATTATTACTTCTTTTCAATTACACAGCGATTATAATTTGTGAGAGAGATGAATATGCAGAGATATAGTTAAGACGTAACGAAGGCCAAAACATGATTGATGGTGCCGACAGATATAATGTAATTAACATTAGGGTTGCGTGGGAACGAGAGCGACATGGCACATGCAGGGAGGCTATAAATACTAATCGCTTTTCAATCTCATAATTATTTTAAATTAACTAAGCTGCATAAACCAGTATATATACACACACATATATATCTATCTATCTATATTCACACAGATTATAGTCCGATTGTATTGAGTGGTGAAGGATGAGGATGATTGGGTTATATTATTTGTTAGGGGTGATATTATGGTATAGTTGTATGGAGGTGTACCTCTGCAATGCCTTCAACCCTAAACATTTCAACTTGTCAACTCAGGGAACCCATTGGGCGACCGCCGGAGCCACATGGTACGGCGCTCCTGATGGTGCCGGTAGTGACGGTAATTAAACATGCTTAACTACTTTAATAACTATAATTATAATTATAATCGTATCTATTTTGTTTAGTTAATTAAATTTGTTTATATATGCATGTATATATATACACGTATATATGCATGTAGGTGGTTCGTGTGGGTATGGAAATGCAGTCTCACAAGCTCCCTTTTCTTCAATGGTCACTGGAATTGGCCCCTCTCTCTATAAAGCAGGCAAGGAATGTGGGGCTTGTTACCAGGTATACACATACAGACAGACGCATACACATATATATACATATATATATTTCTCCTAAGAAAAATCAGGACCTTAACTGCTGCTAACTTGAAGACCGACCTAAACATATATAAAAATAGCATATAATAACAATATATATTTTTTATTTTGAGTGAAATTTATATATTTTAATATTTATATGATATTTGTATATTAATAACTATATATTTAATGAAGATACATGTAGCACATATAATTTAACTCAAATTCATGTTTTAACAAAGCATTGATTATTTAGTTAATAAATAGTTAGTATACTCAAATATATTTACGATTACATAATTAATTTTCCTTTTTCTTGTCTAGTGGACGGCTTTATTTAATTTTGTAAGCTACTAATAATTAATTATATGTCAACATATTAAACAATATTTATTTTCTCCGTCAAAAAAGCCATGTTTTTATATAGTTTTTCTTATATACATATATATAGATCTATATTGATCAATTAATTTAATAATTAATTATATATTAAATATAGTAATAACTATTTTGGTATAAATATTATATATTACTTTTTTAAAAAAATAATTGATTATATATCTGCTAAGTTGGTTGACGTCTAACAATTGTCAAATGATAATATATATAATAATGTTATTTTTAAATTTAATTATTCTCTAGCGAACAGATTTTGGAGCATATAATTGTCACCATACATATATATAACCAGCATTTTGTGACATATAATATTATATCTTACCATATTAAAAAATAGTAATTAATTAAAATTTTAAATTATAATTAAATAGGTAAAATGCACAAAACATCCATCGTGTTCGAAAAAACCAGTGAGAGTGGTAATTACAGATTCCTGCCCAGGTGGGATATGTGCATCTGAACCCGCACATTTTGATCTAAGTGGAACTGCTTTTGGTGCCATGGCAATTCCCGGCGACGAACAAAACCTTCGTGACGCCGGAATCTTGGTGATTAGATACGCAAGGTAAACCCAATCTTTAATTAATTACTAATTAAATTACATTGAGTTCTAATAAAATCTAATTAACTATTGTTTATCAGGGTAGCATGTGATTATTCAGGCAAAACGATAGCGTTTCACGTGGACCAGGGCTCAAATTCAAACTACTTTGCTGTGGTGATTGAATTCGAGGAAGGAGATGGGGATCTGGGTGGGGTTTACCTTAAGGAAGGGTCAAAGTCAACGAGTCATCAGGGTTGGCGCGTGATGCAACAGTCATGGGGTGCAGTGTGGAAGCTGGACGCTGGATCAGAATTACACGCGCCTTTCTCCATCAGATTGGTCTCGCGCTATTCGGGTCAAAGCTTAGTCGCTCAAAATGTTATCCCAAATGGATGGAAGCCTGGATCTACTTATAGATCACTCGTTAATTACTTAAAATAATTATGTTTACTACCTTAATTATTATAAATATCCACCTCCCATATCTATATATATATATATATATCACCTAATATAAGTGCTGTTATATACATATATATATATATAGTTTATACTGTATTCTGTATACGCAATTAATGTAATTAGCTAGTGTGGTAACTAGCGCCCAAGTCTTCTGATGAGACTTTAGTGGTGCAATCTTATATACATACATATATATATATATAGATTAAACTGCATTCTGTAAATGCAGATTAATGTAATTAACTAGTTTGGCATTTAGCACCCAAGTCTTTTGATGAGACTTTTGTGGTGCTTAATTATTCCGATTAATATATTTAGTTTCTTAACTATTATTTGTCTTTGTTTTTTGTGTGATGTATCTATATATGATACTCCTGTACTATATTTTATATCATGTTATACACATGTTGTAATCCTAAAAGTTAATTATGGGGTGCATAATTTATAATATAATAATTAAGAATAAAATTTTATTTATACTAAATATTTAAATAAATAACTATTATATATATCAAACTAAAATTATTTTTATATTTAAAAATAACATTGTGTATAAAATTTATAGTTAAGTAAAAATTATTTTTTTTTTATTTTTATAAAATTTAAACATACAAAATTTAATTTTTTAGATTTTTAGATAAATTAATTGAATTATTACTTTAAATAATGAAATAAAATTATTGATTAGTTATTTAGTAGAATTAATATGCGTGTTAAATTTATAATTAAGTAAAAATTAAACTTTGTCCGTATTTTAAAAAAATTTAGATAAAATCTTTATTATACATCATCAAAATTAGTCTTGTATTTAAAAAAAATTATATAATGCGTAGTTTGTGGTAATTAAAAATCACAGTCTACTTTTATATTTTTTAATTTTCAGAAATTTAGATAAAAAATTTCAATAGATGATAATTAAAATTATTAAAATATTAGTTTAAATAATAAAATGAAACTATTTCAAGAAATCGTAAAATTCAAATGTCTCAATTCGTTATATTTTTATATTATATATATATATATATATATTGTTTTGGTTATGTTTATTATTATATTGATAACTAAGTGGACTAAACAAAATCTCAGCTGACAAAAAGCAAATGGTGCATCATTGATAAGCTTTTTTAAGTGATTACAAATATAGTTAGTATTTATTAGTTAGCTAAGAGCAAAAATAATATTTTATTCTTACTCTAAAATGTATACTTCAAATAATTTGCTATTACGATAACTAAAATTATGTGGATTTTTGTTATAGTTTATATGAATTTTAATTTTTTGTCATTTGTTAAAAAAAAATTAATTTTTTAAAATATGTATACTTATCTTATTTTTTAACATAAAAATATAAAAATTTTGAATTCAACCAATAATTACAAGTGCATAGAATTTTAAACATATATATATATATATATATATATATATAAACACGTCGATTTCATTATAGAGAAAGTCATCCACATCCAAGATCAAGAAAATATTTCCCATTTGCATCACCTACTTGAAGTTCTTTGCATAGTGATTTCACTTTAGGCAAATTATCTTGCTATTGGTTTTCTTTTAACTCAAAACTTCACCTTTCAACCTTAGTCTTAAACTCATTGGCTTTCTTCAACTCTGTATAGAGCTTTATAATCTGATTAATGAAATTTTCTTATGACTCTACACAGATAAGTTTTTACCTAAATAAATTTATCATCTTATTGAAGAATCTCCATGTAGGTATATTTATCAACTTTCTTACTTTTTTTTTAGAATCCACCAAATTCAAATTTAAGAGAAATCAAAAGTCGTCAAATAATAGTAATAAAATAATTATAAGAGTAAAAGGAGAGATTTGTTTATCAGACCTTAATTTCATGACAGAAGATGTATGTTTAAGGTGATATCTTACCCTTGGACGATGAACTAAAGGAGGATCGATAACGTTGAAAACTATAATGTCATATTGAACATATTTACCCAACTGGGTTATGCATTAGTTAACATGATAGAAAAAGTAGTTTGAAGAGTTATTTTATGTATTGCCTCCATTTTTTTTTTCTTATTGGACGTACTAACCAGCAACCAATTCCATA